TTCTCAGCCGAAGAGGCGCGCCTCAGGACACATCAGAGCACACCCCGCGGGGGAATGGCCATCGCTAGCAGCGTGCTCAGGCAACGCCCTGCTCGTCCAGTCACGGGCGAACAAGAAGCAATCGGGGGAGCAAGAAGAGCCGAGACCTTTGCAAATTCGACGAGATCCCGAGCCGGAGCCTATCCTCAGTTCTCTGAGGCCGGAGGCCTTCTCTTCGGCTGCGCGTAAGAATGACCCCAGGCAAGAGTGACCGTTGGTGCACGGCTTCAGGGGCGCCCGTGGGGACCACACGCAAACGCGCAGGCCGCTGCTGCCGCACGGCATCGGCGATCGGCGGGACGCGCCATGAAAGGTCCATAGCGCCAGCGGGTAGCTGCGGAATTCCGCCAGTTCGATTCGGGCGCCCCGAATGGCACCCCGAAGGCGCTGTGAAAGCAAATGGGGGGCTACGTGCGAACCCTACCCCTACCCCCGACGATTTCTGAGGGGGAGGGTGGGGTTTACTGCGCTCGGGAGTTCCCGAACGAAGTGAACCCCGCCCTCCCCCTCAGAAATCGTAGGGGCTAGGGGTAGGGTTCGCATGTGGCCCCCCAGTGAAAGCAGACTCTGCTGGGCACCACCACGATCAGTCCTGGCAATGCCAGCCCGCATCGCAATGGCGTCTGGCCAGGTCTGGTGTCGTGGCCCAAACCGGGCGGGCCCCCCGCGGCGCCCCCCCCTAATGGGGCGCGAAGAGCTCCGACCGGTAAAGAATTCGAGCAGCTTGGGTTATTGTTCAAGTTATGCCAACTTACCGAACACACATTGGGAACGTTACATGAAAATCCAATCTAACACAACCAGAATAGCTTGAGCCAAAAAATCAAACAAGCAAAAAAACACATGGTGGTCTTGAGCTGGGGCTCGGGACCGCTCCTGAGGCGGAAGAAACGCGCGCCGCGCGGTCGACCAGGGCTCCCCCCCCTCGGAACACCATCGCGCGCTGCAGGAGGCACCGCGCATGCGCTGCTGACGATGGTGCGGGGGGGGCCCAACTCTGGCGCGCTACGATGCGTGCGCCGACGCGAGGCCGAACCCAAACCCAAAGAAACAATACCCAATCCGACTACCTGCCAGACCACTTCAACCTAACCCGTAGATCTGGATTTCGGGTTGGGGGGAGGGTACCAGTTCCACACGTGCTTTTGCCAATGTTCCCCGGCATCCCCCCCTCACTGGAAATCGAGGGCAAAACGAACCCTTCGGGTTGGGTTGGGGTGGTTTGGTGGGTGGTGACATTCCCCCTTCGGGCCAACACCAAAGGTCACTCCAGCGGAAGGTCACCCTCTCGAGCAGCCGCTGTCTGAGCACCTGAAGCCGTCACAAAGCGGCCCAGGAAGAACAAAAACGTACTGGGAAGGAGCCAATTAGGGAGACGGAAAAGTGGGTGGTGCATGGGCAAAGACGGCCCCTTAAGACGAAGCCAGGACGAGGACAATCGGGTGAAGAATCGGACAATCGCACGCAAGTTACGTATGCGCTGTACACGCTTCTATTACGTCTCATAAAATTGTCATTCACGTCGCGCATGCGTTTGACATTCGTTCCGTGTACGTACCATGCTCGATTCACGTGCGATCCACGCTTCGTCCACGTTTTATACGTTACATGTACGTTCCATTCACGTACCATACACGCTGCATACACGTTTCGCATACGATCAACATAACATCCATATACTTCCACATGCATTAACACACGTACCGTGTGACATTGCGTGTGCGTGTCATGCACCTCCCGTGTAGTTGTCGCATACGCGTTGTCTGTGATTTGCCGTAGACGGTGCACATGGGGTTCGTATCAAATTAAATTGGGCTGCATACGGCATGTACGTTTCATATCCGTGCTACATGCGCTCCCATAAACACATCGTACAGACGTTATATACGTTCGATTACTATAATGAGCGTCGCATACACCCCGTCCAACCGAAATTCCAATCTAGAATACGGTCCGTACACAACGTTGAGAGAATTGCTGTACACATCGATGACATTACACCTACGCCGTGCATGCGCTGGATGTCACCATGTACGGTGGGTGGTGCGTGTCGTACGCGTTTGAATTACGTCCCGTACGCGTTCAAGATGCGTTGTACGTACATTCGACGTGGGACCTATAATATAAAATACTGCGTCACAGACGACGTGTATACGTTTTGTGTGCGTTGCGTGCACGTGCAACTGATAAGCCGTTTACGCGAATACGTTCCACCCACTTTCCAAATGCGCTCAATGTGACGTATTGGCTACGTGCCAGAATCGTTTCGTATGTGTTCGATACGCGTTCGAATACGTTGCGGGTGCTTGTTGTATGCGCGAAATATAACTCAAAGATCTGTGCGAACGCGCTTCGTTTACGTCTCAGATGCGCGTCGTACGCTGCCTGCACGTGTCGTCCACGTTTGGTGTGCGTTTCATATGCGTTTTTTGTTAGACCCCCGCATGTACGTGTCGCATACGCTTCATTCACGTTTTAGAAATGCTGCGTATGCGTCCCGTATAAGGTTCGTAATTGCCTATTGTACGTTGTGTGAGCGTTTCATATACGTTTCACCAATGTGTCCTACACTTTCTGTCTACGTCCCGTATACGTTTCGTATACGTTGCATATGAATTGCGTATCAATGTCAGATGCCTGCATTTACGCTACCCTACGCGCTGCATGTACGTGTTATAGGCGTTCCGTACTCGCGGCATGTAACATTTGAGTGCGAACCGGGTACGTTGTGAAAACGCGTTGCAGATGTTCGGCATACGTATCACGTATAAGGTTAGTATAGGTTTCAACAACCTTTCGGATATGTTTCCGTTGCGTGCCATGTGCGCCGCATGTGTATGTGTATATATACATACATACATACATACATACATACATGCATACATACATACATGTGTATTGCTGAAGCGTGACGGGCACGTTTCGACAACGTGCCGTAAGCGTTTCGTATGAGTGTCGCGGACATTGTATGTACGCTTCGTATGCGACATGCTTCGTATAGGTTAAGAGGGTGCCGTACGCATTTTGTACGCGCTTAAGCTACATGGCGTATACGTCCCGTAGACGTTTCGCACGCGTTGCGTGTGGGTGTCGAAAACTTTACGTATACAGTTCATGGACGTTTCGTTCACATTTCGCACACGTCCCGTACATCTGCCAATACGTGTCGTAAACGATTCATACACATACAATATAGCTTACGTTTAAAACGATGCACACTTCGTAAGGGTTTCACCTGCCTTTCTTATACGCGATGCATTCGATGCGTAAGCGTTTCGTATGCATGCCGAGCGCTTCATGTTCGCTACGTAAACGCTAGCGTTTCGTGAACATTCCATCAAAGGGTCTCGCATCGACTTCGAAACATGTCGTACACGTGTCATGTACGTTTCCCGCTTCGTAAGTGTTCACACACGTTGTTTGCACGTTTCCTGTACGCACTCGTGCCGTACAGGTGTCGTAAACGCTGAGTGCACGTCTCACATACGTTGCATGTACGCTGCAAATACGGTTCGTATACGTTTCGTATACGCTTCCTGTACTCCCCGTATACGTGTCATCTATGTGTCGGATTCGTGTCCTGTACATGTCGCATACATGTCGTACAATGTCCGTAAGACTATTCACGTATATGTCGCATACGTGTGGCAAATATTGCATGTATGCTGCATATACGATTCGTATACACACAACAATCGTCAAATGAGCGTGCCACATATAATCCACATATGTTGCATTTACGTATTGAATGTGCTAGATTCGTTTCGAAACAATCAGGTCGGTTTGGTATGCGTTTAGTATGCGTTTCGTGTTCTGTATACGTTGCATGCATGCTTGGTATACGTCGCAATAACGTTTCGTATACGAGCTGTGCTGGGTGTTCAGACGGACGTCCCAAAGCAGAATCTTTACAACCCGCCCTTCACCCCTTCACCAAATGAAGGGGCAAGCCGAATAAGGTCAGCCCGAATACCAATATTAAGAGTAATAGTGGTACTAATCTTAATGTTATTAGCACTAGTAACGGTAATAGTTATCGTGGTGCGTGGGGTGGTCGTGATGGTGGTCGTAGTGGTAGTTGTAGCGGTAGCAGTAGTAGAAGTCGTGGTAGTGGAACTGGTAGTGGTAGTGGCTGAAACGAAGTAGTGGTAAGGGTAATGGTAGTAGAACTAGAGATGAAACTAATAGTGGCAATGGTATCGGCGCAGGGGCAACAACATTAATGGTAATAGTCGTAAAGTAAGTCGCAACAGCAATTGCAATGCGTGTGATGTCAGTTTTCGCTGTCGGCATGAAAGGATTAACCATCCAATGCGGGTGTAGTGGCGTCGCGCTAACAATCCAACCAGGTCCACGTAGGAAAAAGCAAGCATTCGGGGCACGTAATGGCTAGAGGAGATGGGCCAGGAAAGCGCGTGAGAATCGCAGCAGGGTCGCGGGCGGAAGTAGGAGTGTCCTTCGGAATGGGAGCAGGAAAGGGAATATTACCGGCAATCCGGATAATGATAAGCGCAGCACATGTCGGTGCAGGAGTCGGAGTCAAGCAAACAAGCTCGAACGAATCAGCGCACCCGCCCCCCGTAGCAGAATATCAACGCCAGCACAGCTGGGCATAGCGTCGCGCGCGCTCCCGCATAGCGAATCGGATGCGCTGGCGCACGCGAGGCCACGCTTCCGACGACACGACGAAGGAAACCGCGGGCCGGGCACAAGCGGGAGCAGAGCCCCAGGAAAGTCCGCGCGCGGTGCGGAAGCCACCGCACCGTTGCTGACATCTTCGCGCGGGGCAGCGCATGCGTCGCGCCCACAAGCGGAGGCACAACTCTCAGGCGAGGTCCTGGCCATCGCTCGGACGTCCAATCTCTGTGCTTTTTTCGGCTTCGTGCGTGTTTTTGTTTGCCAGATGATCGGGGAGGCTCCTCGAGGGTCCTCGCCGAGAGAAAGATCCACACGTCCGAGCGATGCCAAAGGTCCGCGGGCGCGGGAGCGGCATATGTCGCTCCTTCGGTGAGGCCCCGGGTCCGACGGCTGGGCCAGCACAAAGCAGAGGCGCCGCGCCGAGGCCGAAAAGGGCGATGCTCGTGCGATGCCTGCGGGGCGCCCGGGGCGAGAGCAGCCGCTGGTGCGCTTGCGAGCAGCTCCCTGCCGACGACCTGCGTGCTAGTCTGGAGAAGCGCGCGGGGTCCTGGCGAGAACGGCATGCCATGCTTTCGCGCACGATGCAGTCGGAGCGTTGACCTACGGAACCCTAAATAAGGAACGAGGCCCCTTTTCCCTATACGTTGAATTTTGATGTTCCATGGAAAACCTGAGGAAAACCAAAGGCAAACTGTAAAACAATCAAGGAACACCGAACCCCTCCCCAACGAAAAGGGTTCCTTCTTCAGCGCCCCGACTGTATGCAACGGGTCTCCATTCCAGCCACGCAGTGTGCAAGGTCGACCACGCACGCGCAAGTACATGATAAGAGTCCCACAACCGTGAAAGTGCTGTGCGTTCACTGTTCGTGTATGGGTGGGACGGATGGTGTAGCTTCGGGGGCAGGACCAGAAGGGAAACCTGGAAGCGCATCCTGATAGGCTGATCGGAGGCATGGATCCGCGCGGAAGTGGTGGGACAGCGGCAGCAGCCAGAAAGATATAGGCACGGCCCAAACAGCCCCCCTCGGGGAGCCGGACGAAGACTAAGCACCTGTGCTTGGAAATTGACTCACCGCTCCCAGGTCCGACTCTCCGCGTTCCCCTCGACTCGCCCCTCCTGACCCTGCAGATGCGAGGCAGGGATGCGGCGGGCGCTGAGGCGAGAGCGCCAGCTCGAAACACCACAGAGGCCACAACTGGAAGACGCATGCGCTCTGCAACACACCAGCGGTGTCCTGAGTGAAGAGCCAACCACGCGGGGAACGCGAGACGGCCATGCCCGAGAGAGACCGAGGATAAAGGCAAGCAGCATCTAGTCACACACTGATTGGTTAGAGGGAAGGGGGCCTGAGGAAGGACGGAGGTTGATGGGTGAGCGGGGGGGACGGGACGGGACGGAGGGAGGAGGTCGGAGGGAGGCGGTAGTTCAGAAGGCAAAACTGATGGATATTTTCGCAACAACGGGCAAGGGGCTACCTTACGCGTTCGACCATGAAGACCGCCAGAAGAACGCTGGAGACCGCCAGCGAGCGCGCGACCCGCCAGAAGCGCTGGAGCCCGACACGGTCTTCGGCGGTCCTTCGGCGGTCTTTCGGCGGACTTCCAGCGGTCGTCGGCGGCCTGCGGCGGTCGTCTGTGTTCTTTTCGACGGTCTCTCGGCGGACTTCGGCGGTCTTTCGGCGGTCGTCGGGGGTCTTTCGGCGGTCTTCGGCGGTCCTCAACGGCTTCTCGGTGGTCTTCGGCGGTCTTCACGGCGGCCAGACACGGTCTTCGGCGGTCTTCGGCGGTCATCGGTGTGGACGCCCGATGTTTCGCGTTAACAAGGGGTCCATGATCGAACACGTAAGGCCATCAAGCCCGATGAAAGGGTCAATCAACTGTGAAGGGGCCCTGGGACACACAAATAGATACACACAAATAAAAAGTGTCCCCATATTTTCCTATATGTTCTTGGTGTTTGTCTTCCCCCCACTTCCCATATTTTCCTATATTTTCTGGGGAATCGACGATTGATTGTGTCTGTGTGTTTCCCTCCTGACTCAGGACGGATGAAGCCAGGTTAGGTGTGATATGACGGAACTCAGCGAAATTGCGCAGCGTTCGGCTGGCCTGTGACCACGGATACAGCGGAGGCCAGTCCAAAGAAACCTTCCACAAGAAACCCAACCCTGAGACCCCAGGTAGTCCATGGATTTGTGGTGTCGGAACGCCACGATTTCCGCAGCAACACCATCGAAACCCAAGAAACCCAGGGCATCCTGGAGGCAAGCAGGGTGCTTCTTGGCCTGGGTCTCCACTGTATTATATGCCAGCTCGGATGCCGAATTGAACCTCCCAGGAGCTACGAGGGAGAAGATCGGAAGGAGGCCGTGGTGGACGAAAAAGGAGGCCTAGAGAACACGGAGAAGGGCCGCGTCTGGCGAGGAGCCCGCTGTGGCACGGCATCGTTGCGCGTCGTGCGAGCAGGGAACCTCGCCGCCGGAAGTAGCTCTGAGGCACTCCCGGGAGCTCACGGGGCCAGGGCGGCCAAGGCAACTTCTGGTCTTCCTCCAACTCCTCCTCCTCTTCCTCCTCCGCCTCTTCATCCTCCTCCGTATCATTCTCCCCCTCCTCCTCCTCATCATATTCCTCCTCCTCCTCCTCCTCCTCCTCCTCCTCCTCCTCCTCCGTATCATTCTCCCCCTTCTCCTCCTCCTCCTCCTCCTCCTCCTCCTCCTCCTCCTCCTCCTCCTCCGTTGTCATTCCTCATCTACCCCTCCTCACCTGCTTGCTCCTTTCTGGCCTCCACCATGCGTGCGCTGGCGCCCCCTCACCACGCTAACGGCTCTGCCACATCCCCAGCCGCCCCAACAGGAACCCTGCTCGTGGCCAGAGGGGGCAGTTGGCCAACCCGCCTGGGGACGTGCCTCGGCCCCGAGCTGCCCAGGGAACTTGAGGAGACCGACGCCCGCCAACGCGTTCGAGGAGACCGACGCCCGCCGACGCCGCACATTGCAGCGCCACGGGCCGTGCCGAGACCCGTGCCATGTGGCGGCTGGCCCACCCTGATGGGCCTGTTCTCCACCACCAACACCACCACAAGTTGGAGGGGGGAAGGAGGTGGAGGAGGAGGAGGAGGAGGAAGAAGAAGAGGGCGAGGCAGACACCCTCACCCCTCCAACTCATGGTGGTGGTGGTGGTGGAAAAAGAGCCCATCACATCCTCATTCGCGCACGGGGCGCCCTTTTGCTTTGGATGCGCGCGTCGCTTCAATTTGGAAGCGCTGGGGACCCCGCCCCTCCCGCCTGCCTCGCCACCCACCGTCACCCCAGCACGCGGCTTTTGCCGCACGACCATGGTGGGCTTGTTTTCCACTACCACAACCGTAAGTAAGAGGGGGAGGGGGTCCTCCTCCTCCTCCTCCTCCTCCTCCTCCTCCTCCTCCTCCTCCTGTTCCTCCTCCTCCTCATCCTCCACCTCTTTCCCCCGTCCAACTTATGCTGGTGGTGGTGGAAAACAGGCCCATCAGACCAAATCGGCTTCGCTAACTGACACCAGGGACTACCATGTTAGGGCAGAAGCCCCCGCTTCCACCTCCCGCTTCGCACCTCCATCCTCGCCCCTCTGGTGGGGAGTGGGCTTGTTTGATGGCAGCGCACCCAAAGACTACCACTCGAGTGCGGGACTCCGACCACTTCGTGAGTCGCACACCTCGTCGTGCCACAACATCGCTGCTGGCACGGCGAGGACATGGACAGCTCAACTGACCAAGTCGTACCGCGGCAGTGCCCGGCTTCCTGCGTCGATCCCAGTCGACCCCCTTCAACCCCAGGGCACCCCCCTTCGACCCCAGCACCCCAGGGCTCCCCATGCTGAGGCACCGTTACTTCAAGGCGCCGTATACGTTTTGCTTCCTCCGAGCCCGCCTGTGCACTCGGTGCGCATATGCGAGGCGGGGATTTATCCAGATCCACCGCCTGGGGACCGACGTCCTGGTGCCCCAGCGGGCGGTGGATATGGATATAGTTCGGCCCCTGGGGGGCCCGAAGATGTCCAGATCCACCGCCTGCCGAGGCTCCGAAAACTGAGCCTCCATGCGGCGGACGTGGATACACTCCCGCCTCGGAGCACAGGTCGCCGGCGAGGGCGGGCCACGGGACGGACGAGAAAACTTGCCGCGCGGCCCGGCGGAGAGGACGAGGCCTGCGCCCCGTGGTCACAGGGTGGACCACCGCGGGCTCGGATACCCCGAGGCCGAAAGAACACATGGGAACATCTACCTGGAATGGTCTGCAATAGTAGGGGGCACGCAGACCTACCTCGCTTTTGACCACCCTCGCTTCCAAGAGATACCAAGCGATGCCAAACTACGGCCTGTACTGGTCAGGCCGCTTGACGAGGAGGCGCGTGGTATGACCTGGTTTTGCCTGGAAGCGAAAGCGGGGTAGGTAATTCACGCTCTGAATGGAGCATCCCTCGACCAAGCGGAAACGGAGAAACTCAGCGCCTGCCGCATGAGCTGATTGAGGCACATGCTCCGCAGACCACGATCCTGCATTCGTGCAGCAGCCGCGTGACGAATCCATATGTTCTGCAGCAAGCAGACGCAACCCCGCTGAGCAATACCCAACTGAACCGTCAACGGCTCATCCTGGGGCCCATTGCACGGAAGCCAGCTGACGACCAAGTCAGAAGCACTGTTCTGCGCCCTCTTTCATGCGAGGTAGCAGCGCAGAGCGTCTTCAAGCGGAACTGGCGGCGCCCCCCCCCAAAAAAAACAGGCCGAATCAATACTTGCCAGCGCTGTCCGGGCCGCGGGGGCGAGGCCCTGCCGGGGCCCTGGAAACACAGCATAATTTCTGCCGCAGCTTGGCGCGCAGCCGTGAAGCGGTTTTGCAACGCACTGCGAGGCCACGGCAGTTGTGCTCATGTGCTTTGCACTCATCTTGTATCCCTGGCCACTCTCTCTCTCTCTCTCTCTTTCTCTCCCTCTCTACCTGGGATTAGGCGCCCGCTCACCGAATGCGGGTTCCAGAAATCCTGCCACCTTCTGCACGTGAACCCCCCATTCCCGTTCCACCTGTTCCTCATTCTCAACCCCTCCCTCTCCACTCCCTCCTCCTCCTCATTCCCCTGCTCTTCTTCCATCGTTTCCGTCTCTTCACCGTCCTTCTCCTCCATCCTCCGCAACATCTTCTTCATCCTCCTATACCTCCTCCTGGCTCCTGAAGACCCTTCTACCTCCTGATGAAGCCTCCTGCAGGCTCCGTACCATCGCACACCTCGTTCTCCACATGCAAGGACCTCCCCCGTGCATCGTGCAGCCATGAAGCTGCCCTGCCCGCACCCCGAAGACGCAGCTGACATGCATGCTCGATTAGGTAAAAGCTGTGCCAAGCGGCGCTTTCTACAAACGTAAATCCTGATGCTGCCGAGAAAACAGTCGCGACCGAAGGCTCAGAACATCAGAGAGGATGCAATATTCTTCCAAGAGCGACATTGAACGAGCAAGCCAGAAGACACACGGTGCAACAGGCCAACTCTTGAGATGCTACACAGGGAACTAAGTCATCGGTCACGACTGCAATAGCTAACCCAATCATGCTCGCATTGCAAATTGAGCCAGGCCGAGCCAGAACAAGGTCGTCATTTGCAGCTAGGCGACTGTGCACATCGCCGCATTCGTTCGCAAGATGCGTGCGACGATTCCACGCACCTGAATCAAATGAAAAGCGCCCGACTGTTTGAACACACGTGCAGCCCGAGGACTCCCGCCGGAGTCTGGGTCACCTGCAGGAAAGGCGGGTCTGGCCCAGGCCGCCAAAATCCACGCTCAGAGGAGGCTCGTGAGGCCACTACTGGCGGTCCTGCCAGATTCGGCAGCAATTCTCGGAGCTCCCCGCCAGCAGCAGGAAGCCGAGCCCCGAAGGTCTGGACATTACACAGCGCGACCTAGCTTGCTGCAATCAGGGCGGTGGAGAAAACACAGGATGAAGATGAGGACAAGCTAGGTGCGTTCGCGCCACATCTGACTTCCTATCCTTCCACCAAATCTCTTCCAATTGCGCTGATCCGCGAACGCGTGTCATAGCGGACCTGGAACTCCCGAAAATACTTCAGCGTGTCCTGCGCAATCGGACAAGGGGAGCTGCGCACATAAGAGGAGGAGGAAGAGGAGGAGGAGGAGGAGGAGGAGGAGGAGGAGGAGGAGGAGGAGGAGGGAGAGGAGGAGGAGGAGGAGGAGCAGGAGGTGGCGGATGAGCATGACGATGAGCAGGCGGAATAAGAGGGGGATGGAGGACGAGGACGAGGACGAACAGCAACAGCGGGATCTGGAGTGGAAGGAACAGGAGGAGCAGCATGACCGGGGGAGGGCGGAGGAGGGGAAAGGAGGGGGACCGACAACAATGCGGAAAGAACCGGATCCAAAAAAGTGGCCCGCGCTGGGGCGAGATCGCCATTCTGCACGCCGGAGGAGGAATAGGAGGAGGAGGAGGAGGAGGAGGAGGAGGAGGAGGAGGAGGAGGAGGAGGAGGAGGAGGAACTATGGGGCTATGGCGAGAGCGCGGCTCCCAGGTGCTAGCCTGGCCGCCTACACCACATCACCGAGGGAAGGCCATACCCGACTTTGGCAGGAGTCTCCTCTCCAATCTGCTGAGGGTCTCCAATCCTTTCTGGGTCGGAGGCTCACATTTCTTCTTCAAGTTCTGAACATTCACCACGGCAAAACTTCCACAAACAATGCAAAACAGCACTCCGCTCAGCTCGGAAAAAGAATGGGTCTCATGGCATTGGACGGCCAAAGGGTGCCCAGCGGCCCCACACGGGGCGGACCCAGGGCCCTCCGCACCAAGACTCTCGCCCTCTCGCGCCAAACGGACACGGGCGAAACGCCCATCACGACATGGCGCAGGCCAAAACGCGGAGAAGGGGCCCCTTCAGGGAGAAACGCATCTCACGAATACTACAAAGAAAAAAAGTGCGCCTTGGAACGGGAGAATGGCCCTGCTCTCGCACGTGCTCATGTCCAACACGCGCGAGACGATTGCGCTCACGCGGGCATTGCACAACGACTTCAAGCTGAATGGCGAGGAGCCTCCGAACAACAAGCTGGGGAACGTTATCCTGCTCAAAAGTTATGGCCGCAAGGTCTGGGGGAACGGCTGCTCTCTCAGCCACTTCCCCCACGCAGGCGTCCGCGGCTCCGTTGAGGAGCCGTTCGATCGACGTTAAACGCAGAGAGCTGACCTGAGGGCCCGCGGGGTGGCCCTTAGTCTATCTGATGTCGGTATATCCATTTCCCCCGGCGCCCAGGGCAGCCCAACGACGAACCCACAGGTCGAACATATCAGACATAGCCAGACACTCCCGCGGACGCCGAAAGGTTCGGAGCACAGGTAGATAACCACAGAAACCCAGGATACGTCCAACCGTATGCTTACAAAGGAAACCAAAACAAAAAGTGCAGCCCGTGGGCTGGCTTGTTCACGACCCCCTAGAGCTCATCCGAGGCCCCCATCAATAGAGTCTAGAATAACACCTAAGCGACAGCAGGCCCAGCCACACCGCCTCAGCCTGTCATCCTTAGCACGTCTCCCTCCAGATCCGTCGATACCCCGAACGCCCCCTTCGCGGACAGGCAGCCCATCGAACGACCCCCACTCGATGCAAGACTCGACAGCGATCGGGAGATGGCCTGTCGCCCTAACAAGCAGCATCAGCCCGCGGCACCAAAGTGCTGGACTGTCGACCTCTCGTACAGCCCGTTCACAAAGATGAGCAGCACGCTCAACGATGGGGTCGGGGATGGCGACAGTAGCAGGACATGCCCAAAACTTGTGGCAAGGGGTCCCCAGGGCATCCCCACACCTCGGGCAAATACCATTGGCACCAGTAGTAGACCCTTCCTCATGGATCCCCTGGTTGGTCCATAAACAAGCAGCGCAGAGGTTCCAAAGCAACGCCTGACCCTCGTGGTCGAGGTCCTCACTAAGCCTGGAGAGCTCGCTTCCCAGGACAATGCAATCAAACCCAGCTGTCGTCCCATGACCAAAATAATGCTCGGCAGCCTGGGCCCAGATGATCTCGCGACAGGTGTCCCGCAGCGCTCGCCGTAGAGACACCAGAAAATCAAGGGCATCAACGTCAAGACCCTCTCCAAGAAGTCCATGCCAATGCGCGGGGGATTTAGGGCACCGCCCCAGATCGAGCGAAACGGCAACCGTCGACGAACCAGGCCCTCGGACGCGCCTCCAGACCTGATTCCTGGGAGTAGACGTGAACTCATCAAAGCGGGCACACCACAGCCGAGAAACACGAGACTTATCCTGGTCATTCAAGGCCCTCCAGAAACACATAAATCCTGAGAGCTGTTCGCGACGGAGCCTAAAAATAGGCCCACCCTGCTCATGACCCAAGATGCTCAAAATCGCAGTTGTGCAAGCACCTGCATGCCAGTGGCCAGAGCAGACGGCAGCTTGGCCCCGCACGCCCTGCACTTGCGCACCTGAAAGACCGGCAACTGCGTGGCCCCAGGCGCCTACGGCGAGCGCACCTGGCTTATAGAGATTGGCGAATGTCTTGACCAGTCTCGCAAGATACGTAACTGTCCTGCACCTTGCTGCCGCCTTCCTTCTTCGATCCCTGATAGTGGCAATAGACCTCCTCCTCCCAGCAGTGGCAGCCGTACCCATGTCACGGACAACATCGTCAACTCGCACATGGAGGTCAGCATCCTTCAAATCCCCAGCCACCATGTGACCGGGAGAGCGCGGGTTGGAAATGACTGCCGACTTGGCCGAGAGGACCAGCTCGGCCGCCTGCGTCGTCTGCCCGAACTGCACGGCAGCAGCCGCGATGTGGCGCCGAACTTGCATCTCATCCACCGACAAATCTGGGAAATATTGCCCACGTAAGAACGCGTAGCTACCCTGGGTTCACACAAGAAATACCTGTTATGCAGATCAGACAACATCTGGTAGGGGTAGATTTTGACCCAGGACATACTCTGCATGCGCCCAGGGAGGACACCAATACCCGCGGGAATCACCTGGGAGCAGAACCCATTGCTCTCGAGGACCCCGGGGGCGGCGTGGACCAACAGGCTCGCGCGCAACAAACGCGGCGGAAAGCGGAGCGCACGCGCGAGGCGGGCAAGCCCAGCGGGAACCACAGTGACAAAACACTTCTTCCAATCATAATGGACAGCCACACTGGAGACGCCCTCAAAGGCAGCCAGCTCGCGGGAAAGCTCTCGGCGAAGCGCAGCCTGAAGGGCGGCGCTGCCTTCGATGGCGCCGCCCGCAAAAACCCAAGCGCCGCTGACCCCAAGAGGCCGAGACATCGCGTCGGATTTTACAACGAACACGATAGAGGGTGGGGCCCTTACACACAAGCCTTTCATCAGCGCGACTCTTAGGGAGGAGACAGATGACCCCCAGGAGACATTGGGCAGGCCACGTCATGCTAGCCTCGCACCTATTCAGGAGCGCGGCGGAAGCATCCACGGCCCAACGGCCCAGGTCCAGGAACCCCCAGGGCCTGCACCCATCGAGTCCAACAGCAGTGCCAACAGAAAAGACGTTGACCGCCGCAAACACGTCTTTGGGCTCAATCTCGGGGAGTTCGGGCTGACACTCGAGGGCCGCAACCCGAAGGTCGTCCAACGCCTCGCAATGCCGAGTAATCTGGATGGGGATGGCACTCCAAAAACCGCCCCCAGAGATTTTCACGAAACAATAGGATTCCTTTCCTGGGGGAGCTGGAGTACCCCTTTCAGGAGCGAGAAAGAATTCCAAACCTTCCTGCTCATCTCGTTTCAGCCATCTGTAGGCTTCGGAAGCGCCCCCCGGCAACGCCTTTCAAAGCCGGTCCTTGGTCGCCTCAGCTGACGCCGCGCGCGCGGATTGCCAGGCATTCGAGAGGGCGCGAGAGCGCCGATCGATCAAGCCCTGACATCGACAGAGGTCCAAGGATTTCAAATCTAGCAACTAAGCATGCCACTGGCGCGGCAGCTGGTCAGCGCGAAGGCATGCGCAATGCCGCTGTGCATTCTGCACCATATTTCCCTGCTGCTGGGAAATAGCTGCCTGCACCGTCGCATGGCCTTTCTTGATGGCCACTCGGGGCCAGCATAACTTCGGAGACGCAGCCGACCAGGAAGCACGCGAAGACCTCGCGACACATCCACTACGCCGTGCATGATCAGCAAGAGAGGAAGGGCGGAAACTGACGAAACCCCCCCCCCCCCCCCCCCCCCCCCCCGACCTCCATGACGACTGCCCCCCCCCCCACCCCCACCCACCCACCGCCACCGCCCACCGCGCCCCCCGCCATGGTAGACACCTGCGTGCGCCCCGCAGCGCGAGACCAAAGTAGGCAG